CAGTCCCAGGCCTGGATTCAATCTTGTTTTCTGGGCTAGGCCTGTGGGAGTCAAGTGGGGGAACCAGACCCATGAGTACCTAATGCAAGAACAAGCTAGAATATGCAACAGCAGCTCTATGAGGGGAGACGATGCCGGGGGGCCACTTGGGGGCAGAGGTATATTCTGACTGGGGAGGCTGGGCAGGCTTCATGGAGGAGATGGCACCAGGGCCAAGCTTTACATTCATTCAAATAACATTTCATGAGGGCCAGGCCCTGTTTGAGAAGCTGGATACAGTAGTGAGTGCAGTTTCTTCCCTCAGGGGGCTTATATTCTGGTTGGTGGAGAAAAGCTATAAACAAGAGACAAGGCGATATATAATGAGTATGTCGTATGGTGAGGACTATGGAGAATAATAAAGCAGGGTAGAGGGAACACAGTGGGCAGGGATGGGGGTGTTATTGTTTTCACATGGAATGGTTAGGGCAGGTTTCTCTAGTAAGCTGCAGTCTCAGCACAGACCTGAGGAGGTGAGGCAGCAAGCCAAGGGGCCATCTGGGGGAAGAAGGTTCTAGTGAGAGAGAAGAACAGCAGACAGGCTTGAAGGCAAGATAAATCTCGGTGTGTTTGAGGAATAGTAGAGGCCTGTGTGGCCGGGGCAGAATGAGCAAGGCAAAGAGGGAAAACGTGAGATGAAGGTTGGGCAGATCGCATAGAGCCTTTAAGTAATTCTAGAAGAATCTGGACAAGCCACAAGTTTCTAACTTATATCTTAAGTTTCATCCTGATAGCTGTGCAAAGGGTACAAAGAGTACAAAGGTCGAAGGAAGCAGTCAACTTAGGAGGCCTGGCAGGAGATGACCAGATGGGAGCAGTGGAGGTGGGACTATGTGTTCAGATATTCTGATGGTGAGCTTTGAGCAACAAAATTTAACAGGTAGAGACATAGGGAGGGAGGAAGTTCTGACAGGCCCCCAGAGAGAAGGACAAAAAGTGCTCAGATGTACTCAGGCAAGTCTGGAGTTTAAGTAGGAGGCCCCGAAGCCCCTGAGTGAGGAGTGTGGACTTCATCTTGGAGGTAATGTGGCTGGAGGAAGGGGGTACCTGCTCAGAGTCATGCTTCGCAAGCTAACCTGGTGGCAGAGGGGAAGCTGAGGAATGGGGAGTGGGGAAGGGCAATGAAGCAGAGATTTGGTGACTGTTGAGGATGAATCTTTCCTGGGTTCCCAGAGAGAAAAAGGCCTTGTTCCCCCACGGCAGGCTGTGAAGTGGATGACCCAGCCCCCTGCCTCCACATGGCCTCTATTTAGGCACAAGCAGGGGGTCATCCACACAAGGACCCCTTGAAACCAAGCCCATGACCTCCCGGGTCCAAAGAAGGGGTTTCTTCTTGTAGGCAGGAGCAAGCAAGGTTTGTCTCCAGGCTATTTGGCTTTTTACCTGAAGCAGGAGCATCAAGAAAGATCCTCTCTGCCCTGGAGTATAGGAGGGGCTGGATCTAAGGTTTTTGTTTGCTAGGATCATCCAGCCTCAAAGTCTGACTGCTCCCCAGCTTCTCAGCTCTACAAGACCTTCCTTGCCAGAGCCCAGTCTTGTTCCCCATTCACCTCCCTCTGCAGACAGAGGCCCTCCTCAGGGTCCCCTTCTGCAAGTCCTCCTTAGCTGCCACTGAGAAGGCAAAAGGGAACTGGGGCATGCAGCAGATGGCACTCATGGGCAGGCCCACACTCCTGACCCCAGGCTCCTCAGGCACCCCCTGTGACTCCTGGGGAGTCATGCCCTGCACTATCTTGCCTCCTCATCCCCAACTCTGGGTCTCTGTTGGTATCTGCCCTACTCCTTAAGAACAGCAACTAGGCCGTGCTCAGATCTGTGATCCCACAGTCCTAACCCAGAGAATTTAGGGGTTCACGAATGATTGGAGAGAGGTGGGATTTCCTGATGGGTGGTGGGTAGGCAGGAGAGGCTTGGAAAACAGGGATAGAGGTAAGTAAGGAAACTCTAGAAGGAGCCTGCCCAGTGCATATTCCCCTGCCCCTCATTCCCCATGCTACAAACCTAGAGCAGTTGCTAATATTTCCTGCGCACTCACCAGGAGCCAGGCCTGGTGCCCCTACAAGCACTATTTCATTTGAGCCTCCCAGGAGCCCTTTCAGGTAGGCACTGTCATCATGACCATTTTACAAAGCAAACAACTGAGGCAGAGAGGTTGAGTTATTTATCCAAAGTCACATGGCTACTAGCAACCAAAGTATTGATAGGATTCAAAAGCAGGCTTGTAGGACCCCACTTGCTCTGTGCTCAACTACTATGCACACTGTCTCCCAGGCCCCCAGAGACCCAAATGCACGAGTCCACCTCAGGCTAGCCGGGGTCCACCCTTCACGGTGCCCAGTTATCCCCATCCCAAGACACTTGAAGTAAGCCCGGTCCACAACAGCCAACACCAGTGAATACTATTACCAATGAGAACATGAACAACCACTCGTGAACACGAACAAGCATCAGCTTCTTGGTTCCATCATGTGCTTTCTAGCTGGAATGGGATCTTCTATTTGTGGCCCTCCCAGCTGCACCTTTAGGGTGGAGTGTGCCCATGCACTCTGCCCTCGCACTCATGTCCTGTCCCATCCCGCCCCCCACCCTCTCCATCCTTCCTGGAGGCACCCTCACAGAATCAATACCTGCCCATTTCCCCACACTGTTTCCTGCTAACACCCCCCTCTCCTCCCAGCAGTCAAAGGCCTCTCCCCCCAGGGACTGGACTGATTGTTTCCCAGACCATCCAGGGGCAGGATCTGGAATTCTGATTTAAGGCACGCCCTTCTGCTCTGCAAATTTGGGGAGCTGATTCCAAGGCAAACTTGGAATCCAGATACAGGAAAGTCTGTAAGAATACGGAATTTGAAAAAAAAAAGCTCTCTGAGAATCCCCAGTGTGGGGAGTTGGAAAATCCCACCTCCCCTGTCCTAAGAATACTCAAACTCTCAGGATTTTGTGATTCTCAAGGTGAGGTGATCTTGGGAATTCTGATTGTTCAAGTATTTGATGCTAGGTCTTTGTAGCAACTTCTATTTTTCACTTCCTCAGGACATTTGTAAGATTTCAGTGTCGCCATTTTAGAAACCTAAAAGTAGATTTAAAAATTCAGCAGCACAGTGAAGCTGCCCGCACCCTCTGCAGCGCGAGTTCAATCCCCAGCCAGGAAGCGATCCCCATGGCACAGCAGACCTCTCCTTTCTCACCTGCTGCTCCCCTCAGCAGTGTATTTCAGTGGATGTGCCTGTTCTGTTCGCGCTCTGTCTCTGGTGAATCCTGTCACCTTCCACACCTCTGGCCTGTACCACAGTTCTTGTATGCATAAATAAATAAATCTTAAAAAAAAAAAAATCACTGTCCTTCCCCAGGGACCTTCCTGGCGTCACAAGGGGTTAAGTCTCAGCACTATGCTATCAGCCGCCACTATAGCAAGTGTTCCATCCCCTAACCCTCAGGGTGCAGCAGACCTCTCCTGTCTCGCCCACTGCTCCCCTCAGTAGTGTATTTCAATAGACCTGACTGTTCTGCTCCCCACTCTGTCTCTGGTGAATCCTCTCACACACACACACCCACCCCCACACCTCTGGCCTGCACCTGGGTTCTTGTATGCATAAATAATCTTTTTTTTTTTTTTTTTTTGTGGGACCCTTGCTGGAGTTGCAGAGGCTGCGGGCAGCCTCGCAGCCCAGAGCTCAACCGCTGCGCCATCAGGGGAGGCCCAATAAGTAAATCTTAAAAAAAAAAAAAAAAAAATCATCCCCAAAGAGAGCTATGAAATCCTGAGAACTTTTGTGGGGATAAAGATAAAAATTTAATTTAACATGAAGATATTAACTTACTTGTAAATCTCATTATTTTAATGGTATTTGCAGAGCAGTGGTAACTTGGCTGGAGTGTAATCATGAAAGTTTGTGTTTTTAGGGAAGTTAATGTCCCACAAAACACACAATTCCCTCCCCCCAATCCTACAGGCCCTTGTATCTCTATTTCTAAAACTGAAGGTAGGTGGAATCCTGCACCCAAAGCTTCTGGGATATTTGGAGTGGTCTGGGAAGGAGGGGTGATTATACAAGGTCTTCTCGGAAGCTCAGGAAATTCCCAGGCTTAGGTCCTCCCTCAATCTGGCCTGTGGCCAGGGCTCCCACAATTCGCACCCCCAACATCACTGTCCTTCAACTGGGGCTTGAAGTCCTGCCCAGTTGGCCCAGCTGGCAGTGGAAAGGGGCCAGGGCTTCTAGGATGCCTTCTTATGGCCCCTTCCCTGCCACTCCTTATTTTGGTGTGAGAATGAAAGCAGTTGCCACTCTTGCCTGTTCCAGAAAGGCAGAAATAGGGGGAAGGGAAGAGTGAGGACTGGCATGAAATCATTGGAGGTCAGTGAATTTCGACAAGTCGGGTTGAGTAAGCAGAGTCGCAGTTCACCTCCTGAGGTTATGGACACTGGGCAGAGCAGAGAGGATGCAGACAGACTGACCTACAGGGACTCTTGGTGCAGACAGCTCACACTGTGTGGCGAAGACTTGGGTGATGGGGAGAGGAACAAGGACACTCAGGAGTTGGAGGTTTCAAATGACACTCAGATGGTCTGAGGCATTGCTTCTCTCCTGCACCTGCTAGCTGGGGTGGGGTGGCGAGCAGGGGGGCTACTACACCCACTCTCCTTTTCCAGCTCCTGTGCCCAGTCCTTCCCCAGGCTCTTTTCTCCAGATGTCACCTCACGCCTCCCCCTGGCTACCCTGCCTGCCCTTCCAATCCCTTTCCCCAGCCCGTCCCAAGTTTCCAGCCCCCGCCACTCCTCTCCCTTAGACCCTCCAAATCAGCGCTTTCTCCAGCCGACCTCTCCAACCCCTCTTCTCTGGCTCTGGCTCCCCAGATCCCGCCCGAACCCCCAAGTGATCCCCCAGCCCCCGCTTCTCAGTCCCCTTTCCCAGCGCGCCCGCTCTCCCGAGCACCCATCCAGCGGCAGCCCCGGCACTAACCCGATTCGGAAGAGCAGCCGCTTGCTGCGCGCCATGGAGACGCCGCGCAGGGTCCGCTGCGCTCGGCCGCCGCGGGGGCTCGCGAGCAGGACGACGACGAGGAACAGCAGCCCGCAGCCGGCGACCCACAGCCAGGGCGCAGGCCAGCCCTGCCAAGCCATGCTGGGGGCCGGCGCCCGCGGCCGGCCGGGGGCGGGGCCCGGCGTTGCTAGGCGACGGCTCGGGCCGGCCGCGACGCGGGGGCCTCGGCCCCGCCCCTGGGGCGCCGGCCGGCTGGGGGCCGGGGAGCGCCCTGGCCCCGCCCCGTCATTGACTCGCGCTCCAACCCGCCTCCGCGCCCCCGCGGCGGGGCGCAGGCGGGGAATGCCTCGGACCGGAGGCGGCCCGGCCCCGCCCCGTTTCGCCGGTCCGGAACCGTCTCCGGGTCTGCGCTAATCCGGGCTACCATTGCTGGAGTCCCGAGAAGGGACCGAAGCAGGCCGCCCGCTCCCCGCACCCTCCCGTCGCGTCCCCCAGGAAGCCTGGGAGAGGCCCCGGAATCGTCCTGTTGGCGGAGAAACTTTAAACTCATAAACCGTTTCAGCTGGAAGAAACCTAGTGCTCTCGTGGGTCAGCTGCTCGTCACTCAGTAATCATTTACTAGATGAAGTGTTCTGTGCCCTTTGTGGCAGGCCCTGACCGGTCAGAGATACGGTCTGCATTCCTGGAGCTACATGCTAGAATCTAGGGGCAAAACAAACCAAAATAAGCAAACAAACATAATCGTATATTTATATTCATTCGCGCACAGGCATCGGTGTGTGATTATACATTGAGGTGCTGTAAAGGAAGTGAATGGAGGGGGCAGTGATTTGGTTGAGGGGTCCAAGTTAGATGTGGGGAGGCTCCCTGAGCCGGAGACATGTAGGTGGGACCCAAAGGATTACAGGCCTCAGAGGCTCAAAGGGAGCATGCGACCAAGTCTTGCAGCAATGGGCGGCAGAGCTGGGCCTAGGACACCCAGGCCTTGGCTGATTTCTCCAAACACCCCCGTCTGCTGCCTTCCTGAGGATCCCAGATCTTGTTCTTGTCCTGGGGATGGAAGCAGACCTAGGCCAGGTATGGTGGTATCTACAAATTTAGGCAAAGCAGAGCTAGGGCTGGGCTCCTTCTGGCTCCAGCCCTGGCTCAGGACAGGAAGCGCTGCAGAATCAATCTCCTGGGAGTCAGAAGTGGAGGGAGGAGTTGGGGGGGCAGATGGCTGGGGAGGGAAGCAAGGAAGTCCTGCTTGTTTTCTACCCTGTGTCCTGTATGCTGACCTGAGAGAGGCTAGATAACCTGACTCCAAAACACACATTTCCTCTCTCTGATATTCTCTGATTACATATTTGATCAAGAGACTGAGCCCTCAGTGTGGAGATTATACCAAGTATAAGATAATGTATGTAAAAAGAGTTGAAAACTGACCCCTGCACCTCAAAGTCAAGAGATACAGCTTAAATTACCCCCAAACTGAATTGGAATCCCAACACCTAATCCTGAGTTTCATTCAGAAACCCCAGGCAGATGGGGTTTTTCTCAAGTGGGTACATCTTGATCACGGGAGCCAGAACCTATAACCTGCTTCCTCCTCCTCTTCGTCTTCTTTTTTTTTTTAAAGATTTATTTATGCGGACAAGAGCTGGGGTGCAGGCCAAAGATGAGGGGTGGGGGAGAAGTGTGTGTGAGAAGACTCACCAGAGACAGAGTGTGGAACAGAACAGGTAGATCTACTGAAATACACTGCTGAGGGGAGCAGTGGGCGAGACAGGAGAGGTCTGCTGTGCCATGTGGGTCACCTCCCTGGCCAGGGATTGAACTTGTGCTGCAGTGACTGCGGATAGCTTCAGAGTACTGTGACTTAACCAGGGAGGGCTACCAGGGAGGCCCCTTCCTCTGTCTTCTTACCCACAGTGCAGCTTCTTCTCAGTGCCTGACTCATAACGGACTCTAAAAAAATTCAGATAGAATTGAATTAAATTTCCCACTGTGCCTGCTGCTGAGGAGTCTGAGGAATGAGAAGATGGATAAGCTAATTTGCAGAAAGCCCTTCTAGGACAAGGGAGTTGTTTTGTTTTGTTTTGTTTTTTAGTTTAATTTTTTTTTTTTTAATACTGGGAGTTTGTGTCTTTACATGCAAAGTGAAGAATTATGAAGCATCATCAAAAGTCATTGCAGGGCCTCCCAGGTGGCGCAGCTGTTGAGCGCTGGGTTGCGAAGCTGCCCGCAGCCTCTGCGGCGCCGGTTCGATCCCCGGCTGCTCCCCGGCCACCGGAGGAGGGTCCCACATGGTGCGCAGACCTCTCCTGCCGCCCGCTGCTCCCCTCAGCAGTGTACTTCGGTCCTTCTGCCTGTTCTGCTCCCTGCTCTGGCTCTGGTGAATTCTCTCACCCTCCCGGCTTCTGACTGTACCCAGTGCATGTATAAACCAAACAAACAAACAAACAAATAGATAAATAAATAAGACATGCCTCTAGAAAATTTAAAAAAAAAAAAAAAAGTCATTGCAAACACACCTTTCTCCTGGTAAGTCTGTGCCAGGCATTATATTGAGAAATTAACACAACCCCTGTCATCTGAAACAGGAAATGCAGGCTTAGGCATGGCCTGCAGAGAATACAAAGGTGACTGAATCCTAAATCTCAAGCCACAAGTTAATAAGATTACAGATAATGATCCAAGATACATATTATGAAATATACCCAGCACAGGACTGGGAATAAGGATTATGGGTGGGTGTTTTAGGAGACACACACAGGCTCAGGACTCACACATCCTCCCCTTGCCTGGACTGTTCTGGAAGACTTCCAACATCTGTTTCAAATCTGCTTTAGTTTCACCTCCTCACCCATGAGAATCTTCCCAATGGACATCCACCTCATTATTTACCATCTCCTTTATTTTATATTCTATAAGATCTACTAGCTTGTATTTCCCTGAATCCATTATATTGTTTCCACATCTTTGTGCCTGTGCACATGTTGTGCCTTCTGCATGGAGGGCTGTTTATCCTGTGCACAAAGACTCAGATCAGGTGTGTTCTCTTCAAGAAAGCTTTATTTGCCTTTCTACCCCCTCCCCTGATACCCTCCCCCCACCACGAGCCTAAGCATGTCCCTCTATTCCAACTCTAGGTCTTGGATGTATGGCCATTATTCAATTCATTACCTAGGCTCTGTATTTTTTGTTTGCACATCTATCTATCTCAAGACTAGAATCTCCAGGACTTTGCTGTTTTTCATAAGAGTAAGAACTGTGATTACAATGATTCATCTTTGAATCTCCAGTGTCTGTCACATTGTCAGATATACTAAATACTAGCAAATGTTCTTTGAAATGCCCACTCTGATGGGCATCTGTCTCTTCAGCCTCCTCAGATGCTGCTTCCCTTACCCCCAAAGACCAGCCACCCTGTTCTTCAAATGTGCCAAGCTCTTTCCCAGCTCAGGGTCTTTGCTTATACTCCCTCCACTTGGAACATTCTTTCCTGGTTCTTTGACAGCTGGCAGCTTCTCATCTTTTGGGTCTTGACTCAAAGGCCAACTCCTCTGATAGGGAAATAACCTGTATTTTAAGCTGATTGGTGGTTATGTGGCTTATAGCCAAGTCCAGTGTCAGGAGATACTTGACAATGTCTGGAGGTGTTTTTGATTGACACGCTGGGGGTGAGGTGGGGTGGGGACGTGCTACTGACATCTGGTAGGTAGAGGCCAGAGTGCTGCGAAACATCCTACAATGCTCAGAACATTTCCGATCACAACCAGCCCCAAATGTCAGTAGCACGGTTGAAAAACCCTGGCACACGCAGATGTGAAAACCACCAAGTTGTCCACTAAAAAAGTATGTGCTCATCATATGTAAGTTTCACATCAAATGCAAGGGAAAATTCTGGCCTTTCTGAGAGCCTTCCCCCACCGCTTGTCACTCTCCGTGATCCTACTCCACCGCCTTCCTTCACAGCACTTTCCACAACCTGGTGCTATTTTATGCTGTCACCCAACTGGAATTTGAAGCCATGAAGTTAGGACAGGACCTGCCTGTCTCCACATCGCTGTATTCCCAGTGGCATGCGCGACGCCTGGCCCAGAGCTGGGGTCCAGTTAGGCATTTGTCAAACCAATGAGTGAATTATAGAATCAAAGCATGAATGAATGACAATCTGACTATAGCCTCTGAGCACTGTGACTGCCAGCAGACGGCAGCACCCTTGTTCTGACCGGTGGGTTGGGTCCCTGCTGGGATCTCCTCAGGGGTCATCCCCCACTCTGGAGGGCAAGTCATGAACAGGGAGTCAGAACAAGCCCGTGTCTCACAACAGCAGGGAAGGATAGAGAAGAGCCATGTCTGAGGAGCCCACACACTCCAGGTTGTTGGTCACAACCTCACCTCTTCCCCTGAGCAGCGTGGGTGGAGGGGGTACCATGGAGGGCAAGTTCACCTCAGTGCCTCTCCCAGGGGAGACCCATTAATAACCGGAGTCAGGTGACTGGCGGTCTTGCAGTCTGGCTAGTGATGAAGTGGCTTTAGAGCTTAACTCATAAAGAGCAAGTTCCCTTTCAGGTCCGGGGCTGGGGAGGGGGTGCTCGAGTTGGCCCCCGGTCCACTCATATTCCAGTCTCTGTCCCTGGTGTCTGAGTCTTGCCTTCCCAAACTGGCCTGCGAGCTTCCCTGAGGATGGAGAGCCCACCTTCTTCTCCTCAGAGCCGGATGCCTGGTGCTCGTCTGGCATCAGGAAACCGTAAGTATTGGTGATGATGGTGATGATGATGGCGACCATGATGATGGCACAATCATGAAGGAGCTGAGATGGTTGGAGCTGTTTGAATGTCAGAGAAAAGAGAAATTGTGTTGGAGGAGGGTGGGAAAGTTAGTCCAACTCAGAGAAATGAGGTAATTACACCAAGTGGTGGTAAGGTTAACCTGGCCCCCCTTGGGACACCCCCGCTCGCACCCATCCAGCCCCTCACCTGTTGCCCCACCCCCAGTTCACCATCCCCTTGTGGGCTTCCCTCTGAGGCCCTGTGGTGTACACCCTGGAAGCCTGGGTGGAAACAGATGCCCCTCACACCCACTGCCCTCCGCACCCTGCCCTGGCCCCACAGAATAGGACCCTCCCTCCCAGTCCCTCTTTTCTTCCTGCTGT